TTACCCAAGCATGCTGGAGCTTTCCTGTGCACGGAGGTTTTGACAATTCCACTAGATAAACCTGCAGCTGATCTGATCTAGTGCTAATGTTTCATGGAATAATTTAATTTAGAGGGGACCTCTAGGGTTCATCTATTCCAAACTCTTGCTGAAAGCAGATCCAACAGGACCAGGCTGCTGAGGGTCTTGTTAAGTTTTTGAATGTGTCTAAGGATGACGTGTCTCAGCAATATATGCCAGTATTTTACCTCCCTAACAGTTAATTTCTTTTCCTGTATATATAAACAGAGTTTCCCATCTTCCAGCTTATCTGTCAACTCTTATACTACCGCTGTGCATTTCTGAGAGAAGTCTGACTGCAGCTTCTCTATACCTTCCCTTTATACCTCAGAGACATGTCAACAGCAATAAAGCATCCCCTCAGTGTTGTTTCCTTAAGGCTGAACAAACCCAGTTCTCTTACCTGTTCTCCTCTTATGTCTTGCAGCAGCCACTTAACCATCTTGGTAGCCTTCCACTGACTATGCTTCAGGATGTCAGCGTCCCATCTTCTACTGGGAAGCCCCAGTCCGGGCACAGTACTCTAAATGCAGTCTCCTAAGTGTATAATCACAGAATCACAGCGTATTAGGAGTTGGAAGGGACCTCAAAAGATCATCCAGTCCAACCCCCCTGCCAGAGCAGGATCCCCTAGACTAGGTCACACAGGAACATGTCCAGGCAGGTTTTGAATGTCTCCAGAGAAGGAGACTCCAAAACCTCTTTGGGCAGCCTGGTCCAGTGCTCCGTAACCCTTACAAGTAAAAAAGTTTTTCCTTATCTTCAGGTTAAACCTCCTATGCTCCAGCTTGCACCCATTGCCCCTTGTCTTATCACTGGACTGGCTCCTTCCTCCTGACACTTGCCCTTTACAAATTTATAAACATGAACGAGGTCACCCCTCAGTCTCCTCTTCTCCAGGCTAAAGAGTCCCAGCTCCCTCAGCCTCTCCTCATAAGGGAGATGCTCCACTCCCTCCATCATCTTTGTGGCTCTGCGCTGTACTCTTTCAAGCAATTCCCTGTCCTTCTTGAACTGAGGGGGCCAGAGTAATAGAGGGTAAGAATCTCCTCCCTCTATCTGATGGCTACAGGTTGGCTAATACACCCCAGGATGTGTTTGGCCTTGGTTGCCACAAGTAGCAGGTAGCACAAGTATTGTCCTATGTTTCTGTTGTGTTAGTTTGGTTGGTTTTTGGTTTTGTTTTTTTCTTTTTAGCAAGTTACACTACTTTGCAATTCCTTGCACTCATGAATGCCAGAGAACTTGAAAACGGTGGAATAAATTGATTCCTCCTGGAACAAGCTTGTCCAATACTGCATTTTTCATATCTGATGTGGAAAATCGTCTCACTCAGTGTGAATAGAATGAAGTTCATTGAGGATTTCATAGATTAGCTGATTAAAAGTTATACTACTCTGTAAAGAAACAGCATCTCTGTGGCTTGATGATATTACAACTATGAAGGCAATAATTTTCTCTTATTTTTTAATCTGTTTTTGTATCAAAAGTTAATAGCAGAAAAAGGCAAGTTGTAAAACTCTACTTTTACAAAAATCTGACATGAAGAAAAGTACTCTTGTGTACTAACTTTGTATTCTGATACATTGCAGTTTATTTAACCTAGCCCATCTACTCCAGGAGAAATGCAAAAGTGGAAAAAAGCCAAAGCTATCATGATTTTAATTATTTGAACCAGGAGACCTTTTAGGGTACTAATCCTTGACTTGAAAAACTTAAGCTGTGCTATGACCATGTAGGATACCTATGTAAGGGCATAAGGGGTATCTCCTTTCTCCACAAAAGAACTGTCTGTAGCACAGAAGGGAAAATAATCTTGAAGAAGTTACTGTTTGACTGCCTGTCTGGTGAGATGGGTATGGGCATAACCTTAATTGCAGTCTTTCACCAGCACAAGATGTAGCACAGCTGAGTTGTATGCCTGTGACTATTGCTCATGGGACCGACTGACTGTGTTTCCTCTTCATTAGCTTTTGTAAAATTATCAGAGACCCTCCTTCAGTGTTTTGTGTGTGCTTGCTTTTGGGAATTGGAGTATGACAGGATTCATATTTGGCAGGGACATTCTGTCATATCAAAAGGGTGCATCGGGGAAGATTAAGGTCAAAGGAAATTATCAATTATAGAAATTTAGTTATGGCAATTTGAGTGCTAGCTGATTGTGACAGAGAGAAGGCCATCGATATTGTGCGACTCTTGCCTACCTTGGGGTTCTATCAGTTTGTCTGACTCAAAAGCATTTGCAGGATGGGGAATTAAACTGTGTGAGGCAGGAACAGAAATAGAAAGAATATTTTAAAAGCAGAGAGAGCAGCAAAGGTCAGCTTGACTCTGCACCTAAATTTGGCAGCTGGGTGCAGAGCTCAGTCTATCAGACATCTGAAGAACTCATTTGTTTTTGGAGTTACCTGAGCTTTTGATTGGCAGTGTTACCTGATGCGTTCCTTTGCTGTTCTGTGTTCACTTTCAATGTGCAGCATGCTATTTTTGCACTTTTCATCACAGATGCTGTGTTTTGTGGCTTTATAGTAAGAGGCTAATGGAAGCTTTAAATGAAAAAAAAAATTTACTTAACAGGTCAAAAAAGATGATATTTCTAACTTGTCTTCAGTTGAGAATTCACTATGAAAATTTCCAAAGTCTGAAATGTATTTAGTGGATCATAAATGGTAAAGACTTTTATACAGTTTATACATTTCTTTTAAAGGTCAAGAAATGTCATAAGAAAAGACTGAAAGCACTTCATGTAAATCGTTCCTGGAACATATCCAACATATCCAGGTTTATATAGCCTCACTTTTATTTTTTTATTTTTTTTTAATTTTGTTTTGTAAAGAGCTGTAAGCAGCAGAGCCATTTTTCTGCACTTAAGAACAACAAGAATGTGGGGAAAGGGAGAAACCGGGGCAATGAAAAAGGACTTGGTGACACACATGAGTTTAATTTTATGTGCAATGCATATGCCTTCATGCTAAAGGGATTCCGTTCATCTTTGGCTAGAGACTACAAGATGATACCAACAAGTTGACAAGCTTGAGAATGTTATCAGGGATGACCAAACCATGTTTTGGTGCCTCCGAGGTTCACTGTAATATTGGGCAATTGAAAATAAAAGGTCTGGTGGTGTTTGAAACATTCATACTTGGAATCAAATCTGTAAGGCTGACACATTCATATGTGAGTTAGAGAGGAGGGGAAAATAGAGAGGGCAGCAACAGATTAACTTGTCAAGTGAAGTTAGTGGATTCCCCCCCCCCGCCTTTTTTCGTCTCTCTGACCCAGAGTTAATAGAAAATACTGTTTGTGTTAAGGCTTTTTCTTATTAACTGTTGTTAACGTATTTACTACTTAGAAGGCTCTGATATTAAAAATAAAATTTAACAGATGGCGAAGAACTTCCATGTGAGGAAACTTGTGCAGAGTGCCTCCATCAGTGCTGATACTATCAGCACAGCCAGCCCCTGTCTGCACCAGTTAACATGCTGGCTCACAGTCATGGATCTGGTCACGTCCCCCCAGTCTGGACAAGGGCCAGGCTGCTCTCTCGGATCCTAATGCACTCAGCATTTAAGCTCCCTGCTGCTCTGGCTGGCAGTGTGCTGCAGTGTCCCTTCCTTCTA